AAAAAGGATATTTCGAAGCATTTGCAGCGGCCGCTTAATCGTAGCCTTAAACTTATTTTTTATATTTTTTATTAATCTACATATAATCTAAATGTAGATAATTATTTTTATTTATGACAAACCAGACCCAGCGAGAAACAACTCGACGATGGACATTCAACGATGCCGAATCAACATTGAAATCGTCACATCAAAACATCGATTCATTTTTCGCTGGGGAATAGTTATATATATGAATATACGAATATTTCTTGTGTCATACAATCTTACTCACAATAGAATTCGCAGCACATATGCTAATCTCACGATGATCCTACGATCCCACGACGATCCCACGACGAAATCAATCAAAATCTTATCTGCAGATATAATTAATAATTAATTGTTATACAAGACGCATCGCAATCAAACGTAAAGTCGTTAGACAATAGTAAATATTTCTTTATAATTATTGCGGTTAAAATGTTGCTGCTATAAATGCTTTGAACCGTTTCTCTTCTCATTGTATCTTTAGTTAAAGAAGGAGGAGGAAGAATAGTTCGAAGCACTTACAGTGGTCGCTTGACCGTAGTTTTAATTCTTATTATCTACATATCTACATATTCTCGCTGGGGAATAGTTTATATATTTCTCGTTTCACACAATCTTACTTACAATTGAACTCGCAGCACACAATCCCACGACAATCCTACGATTACGATAATTCTATGGCAATCCCACGATGTCAACACAACGAAACGACTGTAACCATAGACATATCTGTGAGTGGAGTTGTCCGCATCTTCTAAAGGACAGAACGATATAGAGGTAGGTGCTGCCTCCGTCACTCCGCCGGTCTGGATAAATCCTACTACAGATAACGATTTTATTCCCTATAGATGTCTTTGTTATCGACTCTGTGAGGATTTAGGTCGATAAAAAGACACGGTGTCGCTGTGCGTTCACGGCGCGAAACACTACCGTAAAAACAAAAACCAATCAACCCAGTGTTATGTCGACATCGACAACACTGGGATGGTTCGCGATGGTCGACAACAATACGTAAGTACTACTGTGTCTCGTGACTAATGTAACTAAGGTAATTAATGAAATTAACATTTTTACAGGACTCAAGATCGAATCTTGGCCGAGGCAATGGCCAACGCGAAAGTATCCGACAACCAGGACGAGTCCGCGGCGTCGGCTGAAGGCACAGTACCTCCATTCCCGTTCCTTCCGCCACCGCCACCGCCACCGCCGCCGCCACCGCCGTCGTCACCGCCGTCGTCATCGCCGCCGTTATCCTTGCCTCCGTCGCCGTCACTGCCGCAATCGGCATCACCATCAACGATGGTGATGGTTAAGTCTCAACCGTCTAAACGTAAGTATAAAATTTGTTGTTGCATGAACTACACGGTCGATCTCGCGTGCGCGGTTCTAGCCACGCTTTTTTATTTTATACTTGACGCGAGACTACCGTGTTTTGTTTCGTACAATCGTACAATCGTACAATACTTATGTTCTTTTTTTTACAGCAAGATGGCATCGTGCTGGGCGCAGGCGCAACGAAGGATGGAACAGCCGCGGCCGCGGTCGTGGCCGTGGCCGTGGCCGTGGCAGCGGCCGCAGCCGCCCCTATGCCATGAAGTATGGCAACATTTATTTTAATTAAACCATTTTATAAAACAGGTCATATTGAAGCAGCACATGTAGAAGATGTGACTAGCGACGTTGCACAATCAATAAATCAATGAAAGTTTATGTTATTTTCCATCTCTCATTTGAATAATTGCAAGAATTTTTCACATTCTAGTTCTGTACCATAAAAGTTTATTCAAATTAATTATTGAATTTAATTTAATTTAATTTTTCCTTGTATTGTGAATATGAATAAAATCGATATAAAATTTAAACAGATGTAATATTATTAATATATTTTATCCTAACACAGGTAAACATGTACACATTATATGATATAAAAGTTGTGAACTTTTTAATATTAAATATTTTACATGGAAACGTGATATCTTTCTTTATTTCATTGGAATGAAATTACAGGGTATACAATGGTTTATATGTAGCCTAAGACTTTACATGATTCTGTTAGACGATTTCGACTGTTGGTTTCAGTATTTACAGAAATAAAGTGTTCCAGTTCCCAATACAAGCGGTTATTCGTTAGAGCATAAGTCAAACGTGACCATAAACTTTGCTTGAAATCGTGTACATATTACTCGTTAATAATTTTAATAAATTGAACTTAACACATCAATGGAATTGCATTTTTAAGTAGTGCCTTAATACCATCATCTATGGCTTTTAGTAGATGGGCCGGGTGAGCGTTGTCGTCGCCGTTTTGATGGTGACGATCCTGGTGAGTCCATCCTTTCCTGGATGCAGCTCCAATACTCTTGCCAGGGGCCATTTCGATGGAGGCATTCTCTCATCCGTGAGCAACACCAATGACCCGACCGTAATGTCGTTGGTAGGGTGGTGCCACTTGGAGATCGCCTGTTGTCGCTGCAGGTAGTGAGACGACCATTGCGACCAGAACTGCTGGACCCTCTGTTGGATGAGCTGCCAGCGAGATAATCTAGAAGTCGAAATGTCAATGAGTGATGGTTCTGGTATGGCATTGAGCGCTGAGCCCACAAGAAAATGTCCAGGAGTGAGTGCCGATAGATCGTCAGGGTCGTCACTCAAAGGCTCGAGTGGCCTGGAATTGAGTACTGCCTCAATTTGGGTGAGCAGAGTAGAGAACTCTTCAAAGGTGAGCGGAGTTTCGCCAATTGTGCGTCGTAAGTGAAACTTGATAGATTTCACTACGGCTTCCCATTTTCCTCCCATATGGGGAGATGATGGCGAGTTAAATCTCCAAGATGTTCCCTTGGTCGAGAGTGTTGCCGTGAGATTGTAACGAGGGCGACCGGGGAGGTGCGGCCGCGTAGAAAAAACCCGAAGCGAGAGAGAAGGAAATAGAGCCAGCCGGGGAAAATCGATAACGCGCGGTTGCGACGTCGGAGTCAGCCGGCGAGAAAATCGATAACGCGCGGTTGCCGCGTCGGAGCCAGCCAGAGAAAATCGATAATGCGCGGTTGCCACGCGTTGACGGCAACCGGCAACGCCGCGCCCGCCCCCGCCGCCTCACCCCGCGCGCCTACGTCCGGGGGGTATAAAAGCCCCTCCGGAGCAGGCGATTTAACT